CATACACATCCTCCATTTTAACCACCAAATAAGCCCTACAACTACACTCCAAAGCTAAGAATAAAACATCCCATTTGTTGAGATATATGGGGCATATAAACCCATCACAAAACAGCCACATCTCTCTCCTCTTTACCCCACCCTTGGGCCGCCCTTTTCCACTTCACAACCACCATATTTCAACCACCATAACAAACCAAAGTAGCCAATATATCTCACACCCCTTTGTCCCCTAATCTGGCCGAACCACACCTCCATCAAATCCCCATAAACATCTTCTCAAAATAACAACCTAGCTTCCTTGTTTTCATTCCATTAAAATAAGTGGACATTATCCCCCAAATAAGTGAATGTACTAGGAAGCTTCCCTCTCCCCCTGGTGTGCTTATGTATATCTCGGCCATAGGCCATTGTAACGGAGAACATCTTTTGAATATTAAAAACTTCTTTTACTCTTTGAGTATTATTAAAATAGTGTGATGCTATTTTAGCCAAATTCCTAATTCTATATCTTAAGAGTGGTTATCTTAAGTGTGAGTTTTAGGTTCTAGATATTTGATTAAGTGCGTCATATCTTAATTAAATTCTAGATTCAAACCCCAAGTTAGGATAAGAGTGTGTAATATCTCTTAAACACCAACTTGGTTTATCCATCCCTGATTTTCTTCCATTTCATATCCCCCCATTTGTCCTCTTAATCTTACTCTTTTCTTCCATTAAAAATACCCAAAAGAACTCCTTCATCATCCCCATATCTTTCCAGCCTTTCCCCACACAAACACCATCATTTCGTTCCCAGAAATCTGCCAAAATAATCGATTATCTTACTTAGACAATCGATTATTGACCCATCCTGCAAAAGAAGGAGCTCGTTCCTTAAATCCGAGCTTAATACCGACAAACCCTGAGCTGAGATATAACATTTACCCTGTTAGAACCAACATTAAATCTGTCCGCAGATCTTTCCATCTAGCCTGGAAAAAGTGACAAGCAAGTGCTCTAAAGTATAAACCTGAGATATGTTAAATTGTTAATCAAGGATTAGTATGTATGTGAACCTACTTGTTCTGTTCCTCTGAAAGCAACAACTAATCTTTTCCGTGATTGATCTCGCCAAAGTGCAACCTGCAGATCTATATAGTCTGTGATTAGATATCCATTCACCTCTAAACAAAGTTTTATACCAAAAGAAAAAGAGTCCCTACGCCTCATTTTGTTTGATCTTTCATTACTGTTTTACTACACCCCAAATTAATGTTTACTTCCCAAATTTGAACACCATCAGTTTTTTGTTTTTCTTTGAATCTATCCTACAAGACTTGGTGAGATCCAATTTTCTTTTCTTTTCAGAGGT